TATCCCAGCATAAAACGTAATCGGCCCTCTTAGATAGCTTCAATTGTTGCTAGTCACAGCTATCAGGAGGAAAAGCTGTGTGCTCTATTGTCGAGGATCAGTGGTATGCGACCCCGGTCTTTTTGACTGCGACGGCGGTTCAGTTTCTTAGACAGTATTTTTCGGTAAAAGAGGGAACAAATTTGAATGGACGTTTATGTATAGTGTTATTTGAGGCGAGAGAAAATATGTTGGAGGGCATGATTTTATGTTTTCCGTCTACTGTCTTCCTTGCTAAAACCTTCCTCTCTTTTAGACCCAAGCGGCATTTAACGTAAACGACCTGTTTCATCACAGAAACTAATTTTGCTCTGACTGGAAGCTCGACGAAACAGTTGTTTTCGGGCGGACTGAGTGCCATTTCGATAATTTTAGTCTGTGTGCGCGCAAGATTTCCAGTCTGTTGTTTTCTGGGTTTTTCGATTCCAACCTGCACTGGACTCTGCCAAAACGCATCCCCTGTATATTCACCTTTTCAGCTGAATCCGTTCGCAGGACTGTGACTGAAACCCCCTTGCCTTAACTTTTAAAGTCATTCGAGGTTGCCGAAGGAGAGATGGAGGGATTGTGTCACGCATAGGTCAAGTTGTAAATTAGTAATAGAATGCCCAAGATGCAAAAGTCGTGTCGCAAGCTTCAAAGTTGAAGCTAACACCACATATTTAATAACTAACTAAACTAGAGTAAAGGAAAGGTCCCTCAACGTTTCGAGGTGCCGGAGATCTGCTTAAGAAGATTTGAGGTCAAGTCTTCCATCGTCACACATGGGAAACGCCAACGCCCTAATACAGGGGTCTTGTGCCAAGCTTCAGATAGATTAGGGTTAGGCTTGGGGATAGGTTTGCATTTGCGGCTAATATTAAGTTTTGGTGAAGGATTCCCGTTATGGTTGGAGGTAAAGTAAAGGAAACAGCAACTTTCCAAGAACTGAGCACAAACTACACTACTGGGGTGGCTCCTATTCTCGTGCGCCACAACAAGAGTAATGTTACGCATCTTTTAAAAACTACGTCGCCATTGGTGCTTCAGAGCAGACAAGAGTCCTAGTGCTTCATTATATAGGGTTGTCTTGAAATAGTTCTACGAGAGTGTGTTTTTTTAAATGCCATCAGTTATAATGTACGTCAGAAGCAGGTTCCTACTATGCCCAGCTATGACGTCCATATAAACAATTAAGAAGTGAAGTTGGCCAATTTTGCGGTTTAGATTATTCATAATCCGACTCGTGCAACAATATGGGACTAGGTAGAGAAGCGAAAGTTTAAACAGCCCCTAAAAAGTAAGCGCGGAGGAGAGGCTCCAGGAAGTTCGAAGGTCAGGCGTTATAATACCGAAGACGTAGATTAGGGCCCCACTGCCCGTCATTCTTCGTCGACTTGCGTTCGACCTAGTTGTGAAGGAATTCCTTTTAGTGAACTCCGCCGCTTTTTAACTGCTCATAAAGCCAGAACTTTATGCAATCACCACTGGTTTGCGGATTTTTCCCTTGGATGACTACGATTAATGCGCCTGGATTACCACGGTCTGGTTTTATTTTTCATCGTATACTTTTCTCCCCCCTCACTTTGCTACTGTAGCTGCACAATTTCCAGAACGTTGTGGGTCGTCTAGTTGGACTACGCACGGAGAATTTGCCCTCTCCAAATCATGATATCATTCAACGCCTGGAGAAGGTATTGCGGTTCGTCAGTTTCGATGAAAAGGGCCGGCGACGTCCATCACCCCCCAGTGTTCGCTCTGTGCGCTATGTCTCACCAAAGGGATTCGAGTCCGCGCGCAAAAGTCGCCTTAATTACGGTAAGCGTAACAGAACTCACCGCATTTCTTTTTATCGATCAACTTACTCCAGCCATCAGGCACCTCATCCTAATTGATATTTTGCCGTCAGCAATTCAGTCAGTCTACGTTTTGTGAAAAAAAGTCAGGCGATTGTTTTTTAACCATTGACAAATCAGCAGAAGAAAATGCGATCTGCGCATGGCTCAGACTACCCTACCATGACTTATGATTAAGGATTCTCCACAGAATCCGAAACGTCAGGAAAATAAAACTCTTCTTCCAGTGATTGCATCTTCTTCTGAATTACTTCATGGGATTCGCATATTCACTTCTATTGGCTATCGACGAATCTACTTCAGCGTCCCCAGAGTGGGCCTCCATAAATATGGAAACTTTTGAAATAGCCCTGTCTAAAAGAGCGAACATAACTGAAACCATGCAGTCGCTTGAGATTGGTGCTTTAGAAGAAAAAAGCAAAAGAATTCATTTCTTATCCTAATAGAAACGTACTGATGACCAAATAGAGAATACTTCATTGGTTAATCTGTAAGTTCTTCTTATACTTCTGCTTGTTTATTGGCAACGTTTGAAGATAACGCGACTATTCCTATGTGACTGGCGGCGTTCAGATCAGATATCATACCCAGTTTTGGTCGAACCTGAAATATATTGTTTTGTAAGAATTTACTGTGCATTGTGCCGAAATAAGTCGCCAACACATATTTACTTACAAGATTTCTGAAGCAATGAACTACGTTTTAGTGAAACATTCATTTTGTGTAACACATTTGTTTACATTCCATAGTACTAAATCTAGCAGGACAGTTTTCGCGGACTTAAAGAGTGACTCAACACGTATAGAATAAAACACTTCGATACATTTTCATTAGGTGTGATTATGTTACTTTGGATATTGACAGTTAAGAAGATTCTGTACGGGGTACGCGAATGTGTCACCTTTCGGTGTCATTCAGTCGTCGTGAAACTGAATTCTATTCAGACAGTCTTCCCATAGCGCATCCACTACTGATAACTACAGGGATACGTAGAGACCGTCCACTTATCAAAAGAGCCTTCATAAACATATATCCTTCAGCAACGTGTGACACGGATGCCGTGTCCCGCTGTACATGACGGGAATGGCACCAATGGACAGTTGCCGAACCTAAGGTCACTTGGTCATGTGCCGAGGGCTGGCAGGGGATAGCTACCGTGGCAGTTACTACCCCCGCCATTTTCTAGCCTTCACCACTCCCCTTTCCCACCTGACCCTAGATAGAATCTTGGGCGAGATGGGAAGAGCGCAGTGAAAGCCATCAGGCCACCCCCCACAGTCTGTCCCTTAACGGAGGCTGGGGGTTGACGCCGGGTCACGACGTGGTCTCCCGGCCGTTCCTCCCGAATCCTGGGGGGACGCAGTGGCAGTAGTAACTGTGCTGATGGAAATTTCGACCAAAAACCGAAACTCTACCCGGTTTTGCCGAGATTCTTAATAGATTGCTTGC